GGGGGGGGGGGAAGAGCCAAAATCAGAACTTGAATACAGATTCCAATGGCCCTGCTAGTAGCTACCACCAATACCATCTCTTGTGTCATACCAATAAATATCCATGTATTTCTCTCCTCTATGAGACCTTGAGGACAGGGACCATATATAACAAGTAGTTTTTACACTTTAGTACTGTGCCTAGGTTGGTAAGTATTTGATAAATGTGAACTGAAAATATGGCTCTGAAGTCTTGTGAGTACTGAGAGTACCCAGATACCTAAGAGTAAAATGGGTCTGAACAATCACCTAAACTGATAGCAATAATATGACTTAAAACCCACAAGTATATACAAGGCTAATTCAGCATTAAAATTTAAAGTGTTTTGCATTCTTGGCCCTAGTCTCAAAACAAAGCTTTTGCTACTTTTATTAGAGGCATGTTTCTTTAATTCTCTGTCCTGGCACCTTAACTCTATAGCCATGCTAACAGTCAGAGGAGGTTGTTAAGCCAGGACCATGTGCAAGCAGTACAAAGACTGTAGAGGGATGGGCAAGGCCTGGTTCTGCATTCTAGGAGTTATTGTCTAACATAAGGACCAGAACAGGTAAAATTAGTTAGGATTGGAGAACCCTAATTAATCAGATGTGAGATCAAGATGCTTCATAAATGTGGAATTTGAATGGAACCCTAAAACAGTGGTGGGACATTTAGAGGCAGAGTGGTATGTTGCAGGGGAAGGGGTCATATCCTTACATAGAATTAAATATATGAGGGAACTGGTTATGAGAATAATAGTTGGCTTAAAGCACAGGACAGAGGAAAAGGTGGAAAGAGACAGGAAAAAGCTATGTTGGCTGTAGTCATCCTCTGACGAAATACAAAAACTATATGCATATGGATGGCACTGGGAAACCACATATGCTTTCTGGGCAGGGTAAGTTAAGATTTACTTGGTTCACAAACACAGTGCTTGAGTTCTACAACAAAGTGTTTTATTGGCAAAAGGGAGATATGCATGGCTTTCAAGGCCCCTTTCTATCTAACCCCAGATAACCTATTCAGATTTATGACTTGTTGCTCTTCAGCTATTACTTTTCTCTGAATGTGTCTGCTGATAAAATAACCACACTATTTTGCACTTCCATTTTTCTCAAAATGATCCATTTCCCCAGTTGGCTTGTGGAATCTCTTTCAGGGCAAAAGCCAGGCTTGAAGCAACTTACATTTTTTTGGATAGATTCAGCAAACCCTGACATTTGCATGGAACAAAACGGAGACTGATGGAAAACCTCGTGGGTTGATGGTTGTCAGTCTGATTTGTTCTGCCATTACCTACTTTCATTAGTCCCTTGTTCTCAAGAATGAAAAGAAAAAGACTACAACACTCAATGCAAAGACCTCTTACTTGCTATTCCATTGAAAGTGGAGACAAATATAAAAAAATGTTACTGCAGAAGGTGAGGATCAAGGGACATTTGTAGAATGCTTTACAATTTGCCTATAAAATATGTCTGAGCATCAATGTGCTAGCATTTTTATAAGATCTCATTTATATTTCTAACCATAAAAGACTACTTTAAGCATGATCCTAACTATAATTTCTTTTATATGACCAATATTGTTCAGATGGATTATTCTTGGGATAGGAATGAATGAATGCTCTACACTAGAAATATAACGGAAGCCACAAATGTTGAGTCATATAAGTCTAATTTTCTAGTAGTCATACTGAAAAACTATACCTCAATTTGAACTAGTCACACTGTAGGTTTTCAACTGCCATATGTGGCTAGGGGCTATACTGTACTGGACAGCACAACTTTGTATCTCTGTTGCTCAGAGTATGGTCTGAGAACAAGTAGCACTGGCATAACCTTGGAACTCATTAGAAACACAAAACTTTGGGCCTCACCCTTGACCCACAGAATCAGAATTTGCAATTTAATAGATCCCCAAATGGTTTCATATATTCAAGTTTAAGAATATATGACTTTATACTATTACTCTTCACACAGGGAAAAAAAAAAGCTTCTCCAGACCACAAAGGTCTCAAAATTAGGACACCAGCCAGATGGTAACTCCAAATGTTGGATTTAGGGAACAGAGAACAAAACACATCCACCTTGGCGACATTCTTGAGAAAAGCAACAAAGGACAAAAAACAAAATTTCACAAGCTGTAAATATTAATGCTAGCCCTGCCAGAAAATCACTACATAATCCCAGGCCATTTAGATAGCCTCTGCAATAAAACTCGTGGAGGAAAAACATTTAATCTCTGAACTCTGTAGGGTTTTGTAGAATGCAATAATTTGAAGAACACAGAAAAATCTGTCTTGTTCATACTGAGAACTTAAAATGTTACGCCCGGGGGGGTGGGG